ATATATATATATATAAATATATATTTATATATACATACACACATTAGTGATGGTTAAATCAAAGCTTCATGAAGCACTGAACCACTTTGACACACCTGCTTCAAGAATGACACACTGCTTCGAAGCATTTCATACAGTCAGCAGATTGACATCTGCTGGCTGTGTGTCAGAACTGCATCTAAGTGGAAGACCTGGAAAAGCCTCAAGACTGCCTATAACGAGGCCTCGCTCCCAGTAGTCACGTGATTGTGGGTGTGCCGAAGCAGGGATCGAAACACTGCCTCGGAACACTTGCGCTTCAAAAGACTGACACTGTGTCGAGCAAACTGGCTCGAGCGTAACATCACTAATATATATATCTCACACTTTTTACGTCACTATATCACTGTTCAGACTAATATGATGTTTGTAAAGTCTATAACAATGATTGAACAAACATTACTATTTCTGTGTGCACGTTTTGTAATTAATAACATGGTTATCGTAGATTAGCTGGGCTAACCGTTCGACCTGTTAGCGGTGTCTGTAGCAACTCAGTAACTCAATAAATGGATCCTGCGGATATCTTAGTTACAACATGATTGAGCTAGCAAAGCAGTTTTGTGTTGCTATGTGTGGTATTTATTCAGTTTTGGGAAAATTACGATGTCTAGAGAGCATCAGTGGCTGCAGCTGACAGGGACAGCTAACAGCCTAACAGCAGCAGCAAAGCTAACATCAGGACGTCATCTGTTAAAAGCCTCCTGTTGTCGGATACGACATGAAATTACTCCAGTTAGCTCAATCATGTAACTAAGACATCCGCTGGAAAAAATATTTTTTTCACGTTGACGAGACTGCGTTTTGGGTGGAGCAGTCCCATGGATATGGAGCTTTCTGTTTCTGTAGGTACGGTTGAAACTCAAACCACACAGATTACCAGGAATTCTTTTACCCAGGTAGATAAATTCCTGGTAATAAAAGTTCCTGGAAATGTTGGTGGAAAAGAGGCTATTGAGGGCCACCTGAGAGAGCAGAGACAAGACAGGCAGAAAGCAGCTCTCAGCAGAGGTTTTTTTTTAATGGACATGAGACCTCTCAAACTCCTCCCTGTTATTCCCAAACCATGAGTCCAATCGTCACTATAAGGATACCACCAGAGAGATGAGCTTTTCCCAAAGGCAGACATATCTTTTTTATGTTTGTCGTGTCAAAAATGTGATCTTGGTCAGAGATCTGGTGCCCCCTAGCTGTTTTCCAGAAATGTCTCCTCTCAGTTTACTTAGGAGTGAATAGCCCCTTTTCCACCAACATTTCCAGGTAATCTGTGTGGTTTGAGTTTCCACCGCACCTCAAAGTTCCAAATTAGCGTGATGATGTAAATGATTCGGCCTGTGCCCTGTATTGTCTCCGCCAGCTTGTTTACTAGTAACATAGTGCTTGTGTAGTGAGTTGGGGCTGTTTGTCTCAGCCAGCAGCTAAGTTTAAAAGTATTTTAAGATAAGTGTCAAACTATGTTAGTCTACATACAGACAGCTGTCATTTGAGCTTATTAGTAACAATTCGCTACCAGCTGAACTAGCGTGCTGTCCTTGTTTAAGACATAACGTTAGTGTCATTGGATGAGAGACGAATGGACGGAGCGTATTGAAAATCGCTGTCTACATGTTTACATGTTCATGCTTGCTGAACACATGTATTGATAAATTATTGGCTTCTTACTCGCTAAGGGTTAATGTCACTTACAGTAACGAGTGTAGCTGCCATCAACTCGAGTCATTTTCAAGTTATCTTCACTTTTTTTCCACCGCGGTCGCTCAGCTGTCACCGGATACCGTGTCACGTCGGTGTATGTGTGGATGTGTGTGTGTGGAGGAGTTCAGCACCGGCACAAAAGAACCGATACTGTTAGCGCTTATTAATACTACGGTCTATGTTATTTTTGTGTTCCACAGCAGGCATCCCTAATAATAATAAGAAAACAGGACAAAAACAAAAGGGTTTCAGCCCCTCTGGCTTGAACCCTTAAATATCTTGTCTTTGTGCTGTATTCAGTTGAACATAGGTCAAAAATGATTTGCAAATCATTGCATTTTGTTTTTATTTACATTTTACAAAGCTTCACGAGTAAACACAGCTGTGTGACAGCTGTTGTAAAACACAGGGTCAGATTGGGCTCTTTATAGCTCTATATAGCCCAATACCAGTCTTTGAGATCGGATTGGAACATCCCTGAATTAAAGTTTAATCCACTTAATGTAATTAATCAGAGGTTCTCAGTGGTCAAGCTGCCCTCACATGATTCTTGAGATTTCATACCTGATAGGTCTCCAGTGGCAGAGGATGCACCAAAGAAGTAGCCTGTAGGTAACCTCACTCCTAAGATGTCAACACAGTCTTTCCATTCCTGCTTGCCATCTACATCCACCATGACCTGGTTGGGGAAGGACGGGTCAGTATGAGTCACTCATGAAGAATAAAGTAATGCTAGGAGTTCTAAACTTAAAGTTAATAATTAATATACTTAATACTTTAATACCATCATCATCATCATCATCATGTTTTCAATTCTGCTCTGAAGACATTTTTTAATGATGAAAAAAATATAGCATTGTATAGGCTACTCAGTAACTTTATGACGCGTCTAGGTCTATATAAAGACAAATGACAGTGTAACAGAAAACATGTAAATATGCTGTACCCATCCCACCTGAATTAGAGGGTTTCATACCATGAGCCTGTTTTTGGAGTATCTGATGAGGAGAAATGTGTCGTAGATTGCGTTGCGTGTCATAGCTGTACAACCTCCAAGCTCAGTGTGTCGTCCATCATAATCATGGTTATATGACAGAGTCCCATTCCCCAGCATCACTGATACATACGGGAAAACCCTCTGTGAGGGAGACAGGGGAGTGAAACACACTACACAGACATGGTTATCTGCTGATCACTGAGGACACCAGTGTAGCAGACCACAGACAGCACTGATGAATCCAAACACATGTATGTGATGAGACAATATGGGGATGTAAACTGATGAAGACAATGGATTCTCTGCTCATGGAATAAACTGCTGTTTCTGATGCTACCTGAGTTCCAGCTTGTGTCCTCTGCATGTTGAAGAGGTTTGCAGAGGGAGATATATGACACAGTTCTGAGATCACTTAATGAAAATAAGATGAAAAGCGGACTATCCTTTTGACACATTTGTTTAGACTCTCTTTAGAAAAATACAAACAATATGATAACACAGGCATGAAACGGAGGCCACTGTCACTCACATCATGGCTCTTGTCGGCATTGGGGTAAGTGTCCACAAATATCCCAAGACCAATGAACTGGTTCATGTTGCCAAACACAGGTCCTGCCAAGAAAGAGTGAGGGACATCAGAGGCCTGTACTACGAAGCAGGATTTGGAGTTAGAGAGGTAACTAATATATACATATATAACCATATATACATATATATATACACACACACACACACACACACACACACATACACACACACACACACACACATA